ATAACATTCAACCACTACTTATGGTTCTTTCTTATAGTGTTTCCTTTTAAGCCTTGTGCTTTATTTAATTGTGTCTAATTAGACATATGAAAGATTTCCTTTGCTTTGCTGACTTAACCAGCTATTTCATCTGCAAAGGTTCATGCTATGGTTACTCAGAGACAGGCTTCTGACTTTAGCCACATTTCTTCAGCTTAGGTCCAGGCCTCTTAAAAATGGACAAACCTGGCAACAATGCATAATATTGCCTTACATTATTATTGTGACTTCTGCTTTTGCCGCCTCTTATCTCCCTTAGCATTTCTAGCTCTCAGCTGCTGTCCTGGTCTAGGGGTTGATAGTATATCTCCAGACATTTTTCATCTATTAAAACCCAGAATTTCTAACCACAGAATTTCTATTGTACATTTCTTTTATCAGTTGAAAAATCTACCCTATTTGATTCGGTGGAGTCTCTGGTATAGCACACCACTCCTCCAGCAGTACAACCTATCCTATTGTTCCTGTGTAGTAGGTATCATGGTATTACAGCATCCTATTGATTGTCCTCATTCCAGCATGTTTTAGAGACACCTATTATGTTAATATCATCATTTACTTCTAAGAATTCAAGTTCCCCAACCTCTGAACTTTGATTTCTAGCATTAGAACAAAAGCAGATATGCTTTTTATTGTTACCTGGTTGGCTTCTTGTGTGTGACTTTTTAATTATAAGAGTATTTGTTTGGGCTTGTCTTCTCTTTGTTTATCATCCCCAGTTGTATTGTTTCACCCATATAGAGTGTATCAATTCAAACTGTGCTGTTCAGTACTTGTTGGCCCCACCCCATTTTGGTACCATTTTAGCTCAGAAGGAAACCTTCCCTCCTCTATAGGCTCCCTCTGTTCCAAAAGGTCCCCCAGTTCCCAATAAACCTAAACCCTTCCTCCCTACACCATCATCTCAGACACTCATTGAGACTCTGGAGCTTTGCCTGTATAGCTGGCCCTGTGAATGCCTCTTCAAGAATTTCAGACAATGCTACCATGGAGATCCTGGACTTCAGCCTCCCAGCTAGCAGCCAAAATTTACCTTCCAGGGCCTCTCTGCTACTCTTACCAACATCATTGGTACTCACATGGACCATGACCACCACCTCCTCCCAAGCACATCTCATAAGGTCTGCTACTTTTGCACCCAGCAGGCAAGTCACCATACAGTCCTCTCAGATGTCACAAACCCAGCTATCTATGTGCCTAATAACTGAATCTCTCATTACCACCGTCTGTCTACTTCTATTCTGTGGGGTTCCTTCCCTTGGAGGAGTATCCCCAGCCCAAGAGAACACTGTTACATCAGCTAGAAGATGGGTCCCATCTAAGGGATAGTTTCTCTCCTTCCCAGCTTTCATCCCCGAGGCTTTCATCCCCCTCAGCAGCATGGGAGCTGCTATAATGGAAGTGGGACTCCTCTACAATGACCCTGAAAGCTTCATTTAGAAAACTCTTTGCCTCCTTTAGTTGCTCCAATTCCACCACCATAGCCCTGAGGGAATGTACATGCTCTCTCAGAGCCGGGAGTTCCCTGCACTGGGTGCACACACACAAAACCTGCCCCTATCTGACAAAAAGTAAGTCCATTGCCCTTGTATTCTGCTTTGGTGTCATCAGCATAACTGATTGGGACTTCATTTATGATTCTGTTGATGCCTGAATCGTCGATGAAGCACAAGGAGAAATAGTATCCAGGTGACAGCTGCATTGGTTCAACAAACTAACAAGAGTAAAAGCCAATGAAAGTGTACTTTAGTGAGTAAAGAGAGCAGATATGATTCTGAATGCACATGAGGGTGATCTTCTGAAAAGAGGCTGCCATTGTTACAAAGTCACTTTCTGGCTACCTACACTTTCCCAGGACTAACACTTGGAAGTATTAGGGTACCTGCAGATGTGCAGGGATGCTGCTCTGACACACTGTAATTACAGCATGTTCGAGCAGACTCTATTAATCAAGTCTACTGGAGCATGCTAATTAGCATCTTCCAGCAGTCTCCACATCTCATGTACTCTGTGTCCCTGCACTTCAAAATGGTGGGAGAGGGGGTGCTTTAATGAAAGCTTATTTATTGAGCTTTAGTCAAAGAGCCCCCACCTCATTTTGAAGTGTGGGATGCTGAATACACAAGATGCTTCAAGCACTTTAATTAGAGCGGCTCTCAGAGTCATTCTAATTAAAGACTACCCCCCTCCCCCACCACCCAGAGCATGTTAAAAGATGCCCTCAGACCCTAACTATATTTGCTGATAAAATAAGCAATGGAAACAAACTTCTAAAAGGCTCAAACTTCAGTTTAGCTAAGCATCCATATTTTTAAAATATCTTTTTGGTAGTATAACAGTGATATTGTAGCTATGATCTAACTCTCTCAGATGGGGAAGATGATGGATAATGGAGTTATCTTCATATCCTGTGTCCCATGTACCAGAGGGGTATAAACAGGCCCAGAAAACCCTGAATGGGCACATACCCATGAGTGAGAACATGCATTTCCCCAGGCACAAACAGCAGCAGCACATATTGTGCTGCTGCTACTTGTCCCTGGGGAATGCCTGTGCATGCACGCTCTGGTGTGTGGCATGTTGCCCTGGGTGGCATAAGGGAGGCTGGTGCCAGCACCTGGGCTGGTGCCAGCAGCCTTACCTGGGGTCCTGGGGGCCTCCAAGGGCTGCAGCCATGGTGATTTGGCATCAGGGAGCCTGGCCAGCAGTCAAAGTGTGGCTCCAAACAGCCAGGCTCCAGTTCAAATGGTACATGCTCCTGCCACATGTGTCACCGCACTTTTTTTAAGCACAGGTGTTTTTGGCACCATGCTCATTTTGACACACCAAATGTGGTCAAAGCAGAATTCCCATGATGCAAGTACTGAGGACCCCAGCAAGCTGTTCTCTGTGGATACCCATAACCTGTACCTTAGTGAAGCTGACATAGAAGGAACATGTTGGAATGGGATGGGATGGACTTGTTTTGCTGATATTCTGGGCAACTCGGTTACCATAAACACAGAGATATAGGATGTTATTGAATAGGCTGCGATTCTGGCTATCAGAACACTGACAAGTGGCTTAAAGCCAGCTCATACTCCATTCTTCCTGAATGACGAGTTCTCTAGGTGTACAGAGAATCTTACTCCTTTTGTCTACAAAACTTGACTGGAGAATTTAGATTTTTTTTTATGAGCTTTTCAGTTTTCCTATTTTCCACTAAGACTTCAAGAATACTCTTTGCATGACAGTACTGTAATGTGTAGTCAGAAAGTGCAAATCAAAAGATTTTTAAAATATAAACTTAGGTTACTCAAACTTCCAGGGATTTTTGTTTAGCTCATGCTCTGTAGCTGGGGATCAGACAGGCAGGTCAATATGTTGCCAACCTGAGTCTTTAGGGTAGATGTTACTGGTGTCTGCACATACCTCGCACTGTTTATCAGAGCCTTGCTACTGCTAGCTTTGAGGACAGGTGTTATTTTTATTACGTATATAATACATCATAATCTTTTACATATTTTTTTACTTCTTCACAATTAGGTATTTAACCTAATTAAAGATGATCCCATTTATTTTTTCTCTTCTCTGTTAGCTAGCTCTCAAGTTTAAGCACTTCCATTCTTTATCCTTGAAGCATTATAGGTTGGTACACTGACTGAACTCTCAAAATTCGTATTCATTAAGCTGGGGCATGAACTTGCGCCATACTAGCCACTCTGTACTAACTCCCCCTTTTGGAAGACTCAGAGTGACAGTCTATTGTCATTTCATTGTCTCAGCTGACATTCTGCTTACTTCTTTTTGACCCAATGGCCACTTAGACAAACAACATAGAAATAAAATGTCAATCTAGATGACGAAATGGGGACAGAGTGTCCCCCTTTAAAAGGGAAGTAAGCTATTTGTCATTTAATATGAACTAAAAGCATTTATAAAAAGATTTAATATGGAGTAGTTGTGTTATCACACCCTAATTTAATACTACCTTTCCTGTATAGAAAAACCCTTTAGTGAACTAATGGGGTTCCCCCCCCAATACTATTACTGTTTTCTAGCCAATACTGTTTTCTATGGGTTATTCCTACCTTATAAACTTCATTTACTTTGAGAAGTTACAAATCTGAAATAACTGCAACTTAATTTCTATTAAGTATTTCACAAACATAAGTGTGAGACTTTGGCAGGTGGTGATACAATATATTGGAATTAGTTGCAATTATGGTGAGATTTGGCATTATCAGTTTGTGATACTCCCAAAGGAAAAATAACAATTATCTTTTTCACACTGTACAAACACATGCTGTCCTCACTGCAACAGTTGGGGCTTTTTTTTAAACTTCCGTAAGACTGAAATTCCTGTTTTTCCAGTTCTCCTAGTTACCTCCTCATTTAGACATACTTCCATGAAACTGCTGCTTTAAAAATCAAAACAAATCACATGTTTCTCAGATCATCTTCCACCTTAAGCCAAATCTTATCCAGGCAGGTCATCCCATTAACTCCACTTCATGAAGCAGGCATGATTTGCCACCTGGCAGTTAGCACTGAATTTCACAATCAGTATAATTAATGCCATTTGAGACATAAAAATAAGCTTAGTTTTAAATAGCACATCACAGATTTAGGGCCTAATCCAAGGACTGCAGAGCAGCAAAGCCCACAGCCTTTTCCACTCACAGAAACCTTTTTTGCTTCCATAACAGAGCCCATACTGACAAGAGCAAGATCAAATCTCTACTAAGAGCTAGATATTACCATTATGGATCCATTACAGAATTTATATAGAATAGAAAACAGTAGATAAAACAATACAGAACATTCCTATATTTGAAATCAGACTGTTAAACTATCAGGCTTATTCTTTCTTTAATTTCCATGATTTTTAACATAAATCTGTATTATCGAAATATAGTATTTATAATGAAATACATATTATCAGTATAGCTGAAAAAGTAGATCTAGTTGAAAAATGGGGGGAGGAATTTAAGGGTTTTTTAATTTTTAATTACAATTTTGTTTACATGGAAATAATATGATCGGAATATCAGACGTACATTCAAAAGATATAAATATATCAAAGTAAGTTTTCAACTAAGACTTGGTGTGTCTGAAAAAAGGATAGACTATCAACGTCACATCGTCTTCTCTGATTTGACAGTTAACATCTGCTAAATGTCTTCCCAATATTACCCAGTTAGGCTTCATGAGAGAATCATTGTAACACAAATATAAATTTGAAGCTTATTCTTAATGTCAGTCACAACGATGCTTCTTGATACACAGTGTATTATAAACCTTAAAAAAAAAAAAAAAAAAAAAAGAGTCCATGAAAGAATTTAGGAAGTTTCATCCAGGCATAACTATAAAAAAAAAAAAAAAAGTAATATTTACAAAACCTCAATACTTATAAATGCAGACATGCATTTAAGAGATTTAAAAGTATAGTTAAAGTTTGTCTTGGTAATTAGTTCTGAACATATCATTTAAACCATTACAGGCTGGCTGAATGTAACAAAAAGCTGAATGTGACAAAAAGCCTTTATGGTATGAGACAGCATTGAGCTGGCCTGGTAGAGATGGCACTATAATAGGTTTTCAATCAAACCTGAAAACTCTAGTTTCAAAATAAGAATGCTTTGTGTCATGCAACTTTTGAAGTTTATTGTAACCTATGTCTGCTTCTGTGGGCACACCTTCTTATCCGAGTGGACAATCAATGATGTAGTAATGAGGATGATTTCAGGATACCTACAGGTGCTGCACTCTGCTGGTGAAAAGTAGTATACTCAAAAAAATCACTCTTCAGAAGACCTCCCTGTAACCATGTTTCATTATTCGCTTTCAAATCCCTCCTAAAACTCTCCTTTGTTGTGATACCTACAAAAAAGCTTGAAAATAGCTAGGCTGTTGGTGTGCTGAAACCCCAGCTTATGATGCTCATCATAACAATGGCTCGTCATTCTTTCTTTGCTTCCCCTCAACTGTCTGTATCCGTCGGGTGTTTCTGGTCTTATATTTTGATTGTAAAGTCTTTGTGGCATGACCTATTTTGTTTGTACAAATGGCTAACAAATTGGCATTCTGGCCCTTTGTTTTCATGGTGCATTATTATTATTTGGTACAGATTAAAGGGAGACGGACAAAACAATGACCTACTGAGGCCTCTGACTGAGAACACCAAGTCAAAAAGTATGCAAATATAAAAACACATACAATTTGAAAATGTGACATGGCACTTAGGCTTACATTACTTACCTCAGTTAAAATCCTGGAGGAAAGATCCATTAGTAGGTACTGAACAACATGGTAAATATGAGTGCAGCCTCAAATGAGAAATTTCCTGAATGTCTGACTGTTGGAAGATGCAGAGAGACTGAAGCAGGGACTGGAGCAAAGGATAAATATGCCCTGGTTACCTCCCCCTCTCAGCATACACTTTCTTCCACCATGTGAAACAGGAAAGTGGACTAGGTGGACATATGGTCTGACCCAGTAATCTTCAAGTGCTTTGTAAGAATTGGTATTTATATTTACCCATTTCACATACGTGAAACCCAAGGAGAAATGTTTAAGATACATGTCCTAAAATAGAATACAACTTTGGATGTCTCTGGGGACTCCAGTTTTCTTAACTCCCCACCCATAGCTAGTGTCCTAGCCCTAGTGTAATCATATTCAAAAGGTAACATTAATACCTGAAATGCTATATGCCTCCATATAACATACAATGTATGAAGAAGGCAAAAATATCACAGCACATCCAAGCGGCACTTCTGTTTTTGTTGTCAGAAAATTGGTTATACTTTTTGATTATCACCCAGGGTTCTTACTGAAGATATAAATGGACAGCCTTGACAATGACACCCTTGCTATTTATTCACTTCTTAAAATGATAACAGTTCTTCTAGGTGTCAGCTGGTACACTTTCCTTAGTTCAGCTAAATGGGAATCTCTTTCCCTCAGGAAAACTTAAAAATGAACGTATTTTTAGTGTGCATTTATATATGGTATCTGTCAGACTCTGGATGAGATTCTGGATTATACAAGTGTATAATCTGTTCTACTTTTAGTATAAAATTAGTGTTTAAATTACCCAAACACTTGATGTATAGCAATAAGCATACATTGTTACAATATACTTGTTTTTTAGGTTTTACTTGCCTAACATTTTCTCAGCCAGAATGAGGAGGACATTAAATTATCATTGTACCAAACTATCCTAAACTGCTCCAGGGAACGGAGAGGTCCTGAGCACTATAACTGCTGCACTGGAAGAATTCTCCTTGTGCTATATAAAGAACTCTTTCAGCTTTTCAACACCTTCTGGGCCATTTGGAGGCAGAAAGGGGCTCAATAAGTGAATGGATCCTACCCATTACATGTACCTCTTATGTGCGCACTTAGAAACTTTAAATACAAAGAAGGAAGATGTTACATATCGCTCTTTAAGATAGTTGCCCTAAGACCTCAAACACTTGTTGGGGCTTCAGCCTTCCTGCCTTTGGGCCCTTTTTCCTTTGGCTGATCTCTCAGCCCAGGTCCACTGTCTTGAACTTCAGCTCCTGGGCCTTGGCCCTTTGAATCCTTTCCCAGAGCAACTCTTGGGCTGCAGAATGCCCCAGGCACCCTGTTATGGGCCTCCAAAACTCCCACATAGCTACAACCCAAACCTCCAGTTAAACATGAACACAAAATATCAACCCAAATGGTTCCAACTCAAATGGGTCTCTGCTTATTCTTGACCTCCTACCTAAGGGGCTGGCTTGTTTTCCCAGCCTTTCAGGTATCTCACCCAGCTTGCCTCACTCCTTCCCTCAGTTAGTTTTATTTAGAGTTGCTTACCTTGTGACAACCAATGTCAGACTGCCCACTCCATGTCCAGAAACTGGGTTTCTATGCACCCAAGTCTAGCCACTTTTCAGTCATCTGATCTAAATCGCTACCCCCAACACCCAGGTGCTGTTGATTCCCTCATCAGCCGTCTGGCTTTCTGCAGCCTGCAGCTCAATTTACACAGGTGATTCATGCCCACTTCCCCTTGTCATTTAGGTTTTCTGCAATATGCCTCAGCTACACACCCTTTTCTCTTCTGGTAACACAGGCAGGAGATCCCTGTTACAGATACATCTTAAACATTATCTGAAAAGAATGAAGAAGAAGGAGTAGATCACCATGGGTAAAATAGCAAGATCCACACTGATAAAGCTGTGTGAATAAGGTATTCTTCACTTAATAGGATGAACCAAAAAAAAAAAGAAAAAGAAAAGGAAAAAATGTTCGGGTCAAACTGAGATGGAACATACCTGAAAATCTAATCAATATATTTTTAGAGGTATCCGGGAATATTTGACACCTACTGAAGAACTGAGGAGAGTTCTGTAATATTTTCAGGCCACTTCCAGAGATTTCATTCATTTCCTGAAGTCAGATATCAGCTGAGGTTGGGTCATGTGTCCAGGGAAATCCAAGGAACTTTTGCAATTGGATAATGAGCTCGTTATCTCTGAGCCAAAGAGAAACACGTGGGCATAGGGTTCATTCTCTGCTTGCTGCTGTTGCTGGGGGGAGCCTTTTTGGGTGCAAAGTTAGCTGTTAAAACCTTGCAAAGAACCCCCACCCCCAAGTGGTACATAGCTATTTTTTCTCAATCTGCCTCATTAAAACCTTACCAGACAACATGTCTTCTTCCCTGATGATGCCTGCTAGCATCAGGACAGGGAGAAAGGCATATTGCCGGGTGAGGTTTTATTGTCAGTGAATGAGAAGTAATATTTAGATAATTAAATAATAAATTGGAACAGAGATTTAAAGTGAACAAACAAGAATAACTTTTATTATAAAGAGAAACAATGAAGAGCAACAATAAACAAACGTACGTTATAAAAAAAAAGAGATTCAATATAATTCAATATAAGGCAGCAATGACAAGACCTTATACAAAGAACACAAACACAACAACAAATTACCTATTCTTCCTAATGGATGAAATCCCAAGGTGAGGGGGCACTCATAGAAATTGGACAGAACCAGTCTGGGGTTGCACCAACCCAGTACCAGGTTCAGGACTTCACATGCTTGTTGATGTGGCTAGGACATAAGTTCAGTAGTTCACCAGATTCAGCATGTTCTTCATGGAGTCCACAGAGCGCATGAGCAAGAGTTTTATTTACTGTGCTGATGAGGCAATGCTTTGAGTGCAACAAGAGTTAACCATCTCCAAATTGAAACAGAACAAAGTCTTCGACAACACTGTAGCAACCAATTCCTTACTATACATAGGTTTTGGACAAACTGAAGTATGCATTTAATGGCCACATCTACAGTATGCCCTTGAATGCCTCTCTGCTGATCTATTGTGCAGAGAGAAGACAGGCCCCTTACGTTGCATCTGTGCTACTGCTACTCTCTGGTGGACAGATCCCCAACAGAGGGCAAATGAGCTGGAGGTCTTCCACTCCAATATGAGTTCACTTTAAGCTGCCTACGTTCTCTACCAGTAGCGGGTTGTCACTTTGCATAACACAGTCTTTATTTACCTGGGCAAACTTGCCCCACAGGGCACAGTATAAACCAGTAATCAGCAAACAGCAGAGGCATAGCCAACAAAAGGTTAACTCACAGCCTAGGGTCTTTTCCCTGAGAGGGAAAACTTGGCTCTATGCTGCTTTCTCAGCTCTTCCCTCTCTCTGGAGCAGGTTCTCTGGCTTACTGCTGTAGCCTATGGCTCCACAATACTCAGGTATCTCAAATCATCTGGTCTTTTCCCAGACCCTAGGAAAGTCCCTGGTTCAGTATTGCAGCTGTTATCCATAGTTGCCTCCCACCCCCTGCCTTCCCTCTCCTCCACCCCTTTTCCCTCTCCCTCCCATCACAAATTCTCTGGTAAACCACCCAAATCTGTGATTAAAATAAAAGGCCCTCCACAGGCCCACAGCCCTGCTGGCGCCCCTCACTCCCCCCCACAGTCCCCTGCCCCAGCAGGAGATGATGGCTGCTGCACTAGAGCAGAGCATGGAGCCTGGTTTCCCCCCACTTACTGCCTGCTGTGGGCTCGGGCAAGGGTGGGGCCAGCTCCCCGCCACAAGTGCACTCCCAGGGTGTGGGGAGCACGTGCCCCTGAGATCTATGCATGGGGCAGGAATGGCTGCATACTGCCAGCTACGGGCTTGGACTGCTGGCCCTGCTATCCTCCCCCGGGGCCAGTGTGTGTGACCAGGCACTGCAGCCCAGCGTGTGTAACCTGGCACTGCCAGGAACAGTGGAGCCATACAGGAAAGCTGCTTGCAGCAGGGAGCTCTGCGCTGCCCTGGTGAGACATCCTCTGCCCACAGGGTTGCAGTGAGGGGCACAACCCCGCTCCACTGCCCTCGTTGCAGCCACACGCACAGAGGACACAGCACGAGGGCAACACAGAGTTCACAGCTGCAAGCAGCTTTCCTGCATGGCTCCATTGTTTCCTGCAGCACCAGGTCACACATGCCAGCTGTGGAGGTCCCAGGGGAAGACAGCAGGGTGGGATCCTGAGCCCACAGTGGGCAGCACACACCTGTGCCCACCCTGTGCACAGATCTGGGGGGCACAGATTCCCCCTGCCCCCCAGGAGTTCATGCCATGGTGGGAAGCCAGCCCCACTCCCTCCACCCCCGCAAACAATCCACCCATGGCCCCATCCTGCTCCCTTCTGGGGCCCTGCAGCTGCACAATGTGGCCCCAGGCCCCAAGCCCCACACACTGCCCCGCTGGGCAGCAGGCCCA